ACTGAAGAATAGTTATACTTTTACAATTCATGCGGTCTTTTATCCATCTGATCTCTAAGATGTTTCAACAGTGGAGAACAGGGAAGAAGGTCCTTCTGAGCAGAGGCTATTATGGAAGGGCGAGGAAATGACGATGGAGCTGATTTCGGCACCTGAATCACAGAATATACTCATGCGATTCTGCAGTCTAAATCCATAATACCTTTGAACAGTGCAGAGCACAGCAAGCAGCACAACCACTATTTTTAAAAGTAAATAGTCACAATATTAGAATGCAGCTATTTCAAGTGGTGTTACTTTTATGGGGCACAGGGAGATTATATTTAATATTGTGTTCTAGATAAATATTTACACAGCAAATTGGGTTTCCCTTTACAATTTTGAGACATTTTAAAATGATTATTTTAAATTAGTATAAAGTTGGTACTGCCCCTCAGCAATTGGCAAAACAATGAACACACATCTCTCCCAGAGGAATTTTTCACACCACACTTACGTCAATTGTAGCATTCCAATAATTAGTAGATGCATGATTACATGTATTTCAGAAATGTTCAATTGCAAAAGGACATATGTTCTAGATATATAATAAATGGAGCCACATCACATACTGACTTCCTGTATTCTAAACAACCTTGATTGGGAAGGTCTTGTACATTCCAAATAGTTTGTTAGGGCATGGTCAAGGGGAAAGAAAATTGGGAGGAGGAAGAAAGAGCTATATAGTGTCTTCAAGCCTGTATGTATTCCATAAGGTGGGAGCTAGACTCTTAGAAATGGCAGATAGATGGCACATACATTATTTTTCTTTCCATGCCCCTGGCAGACCGACCATTTGCAGAGCCTAGAACAGTGTCTGGCACCTAATAAACACTCCGTCGATATTTGAATGAGTAAAGCAGTGAAGAATTTGGACACTTCTTTCTTACTTGGCTTCACTAAATCTCAGAATCCTTTAAATACAGCAATCACGAACAATAAATCAAGGTTGCCCAATGAAGCCTATTTCCATCTCTAACTTAAGAGATTTTGAGGCAGAAAATAATTTGATGGAAACAGGACAGTACAAGCCTTTGAAATCATCAAGCTTGAACTATAGTTCTTAGTCTAGAAAAGACGTGACAAGTCTTTTATATCAATGGCAGTTTTCTCATTTAGAAAAGGAGAGTAATTTCTCACCTGCCTACATCAGAGGGGTATAAAATGAGTCTCAAGGAGGCTGGTGGATATGGAGTGCTTTTTAAATTGAAGTGCTCAGAAGAGTGAGCTTTATAATGTTTTAGCTAGCTTATTGCTTTTTAAATTGGAGTGCTTAAGAAGTGATTTTAATAATATTTTAGGCAGGCTATTTTTTACATCTATATTCAGGATGATGCACTTAAATAGCCAAAGGCCAGAGAGAGGATATTCTATGTAAGGAGAGGACTTTGGATAAGAGCTGTTAGCATTTAGTGCTTGGGAACTAAGCATACAGAAAAGATTGATTTATTATTTGGAGGATATTAGTAATGTTACTAGTTCTAATGATAGGGAGAAAGACTATTGTGTTTTGGAAAGAAGTTTATTCAATTATATTTGATTCCAGGTAAAACTGCTTTATATGCTGATAAATGGGAAGAGACTAAAGGATCTATGGTCTCTGGGTTTCTCTTCTTGAATGAGGATATAAATTCATTTGGGATCATAAGGATCAAGGACTGAATTATAAAAGACTATTGTTTAAATGTGTAGACATGATTCTCACAATTTAGTGAAAGGTCAAAGCTGACCTTGCTAGGATTAAAGAGATATCCTTACAATACCAGGGAGTATTATTTAGTCTGACCTTAAGGATATGGAGGATTAGGGTTAATATATTCTGTACTGTCAATACATAATTTATAAGATTTCACAATCCATAAATCTATCATGTGGCAAATATTAGGAATTTTCAATTAGACTAATAAAACAGAAAGATGGATCTTAGATTACTTCAGTTTATGGACAAAATAAAATTGAAAGGGTGTTTTATAGCTATTGGCTAATTAATACTTTTCTATTTGTTGGATAACTGTCAACAACTTGAGCATAAAATGTTATGCTAATAATTCATATTGCAATTTTTTCTAATAGTCTATAGAATTTTATTATTTGTTACATTGTAAGCTAATGAACAGGTATTAGATCTTATTTTTCAAACTTGTTTCTGACATTGGCTATATTTTCTCCACCCTTCCATATGCCAGCTTGTGTACCAGGAAAATAATGGTTCCAGAAGACAAAATTATCCTAATAAAATTTACAAGTTTAGACATAGAAAATAAACTTAGATGTGATCATGACTATGTATCTTTGCAATCAAGTAAAGGAATGTTTATTAGTAAGTATGTTACATATATTTAATTTATAACTTTAGAGTGCATAAGAGAAAACAAACTGTTAAACATCTAAAATTAAACTTCTGCACAAACCATAATTTTTGCATCGCATGCCCTCTTTGAGACTGTTTTTCTAAGGTTGGGTGCCAAATATCATGTACCCTTCAAGTTTATTAACAAGTGTTGACTGAACTTGATGCTGCAATTGCCAGAACTTCTTCTTTCAGGACATTCATGTTGTACTGCAAAAGGAGTGTAAAACTAAAAAACTCACTGCCATGGAGTGATGCCGATTCATAGCAACCCTGTAGGTCAAGGTAGAACAGTGAGTTTCCAAGATAACACTTTTTTTCCCTTTTATTTGTCTTATTTTATTAGGGGCTCATACAACTCTTAACACAATCAAAACATACATCAATTGTGTAAAGCATATTTGTACATTC